AGCAGAGCTCTTTTTGCTTCCTGATTGCCATATCCTGAACTGTGTTCCTCCACCATGCCCTTCTGCCATGATGTAACTCAAGAAGTAACTCCAGTACTTTAATCAGAGGAATGGAGTTGACTATCTATGGACTGACACCTTCTCTGAAACTGTTAGAAGTGAATAAACTTTTTCTCCTCTTAAAAATACAAAAGCATTGAATAGCTGTGACAGAGAATATATATTCTATAAAAATCAAAATATTTTCTAACTGGCTCCTTACAGATAAAGTTTGCCAATCCATATTCTACATAGGTCCTCTCCTTGGGTGTTTCTGAAGATTTGAGAAAGATAGGAAGACTCCAGGAGAGTTCATCATATGAGAAAATAAAGAGATTGAAACGGATAGATCTCTGAAAAATCCATATTCTGAAAAAGAGTCTAAAGTATCAATTATCCTTTGTCATATCCTAGAATTTAGAATTTTAGGGCTAGTTTGTGAAGCTTTAGGGATATAGGTCTGCTTTTCATTTTCCTTCCAATCAGGATGTAACTCAAGAAGTAACACCAAAAGTAGTTTCGTTGACATTTCATGCAGCTAATTTTTGTTGTGATCATTTTGACATAGATGGCATTTTCATGTATCTCTAGTTTAGTGTATCTAAAAAGAAATCAACTTGAGGACTCTTTCAAATCCAAAATAATGTGTTCAGCACATTCACACTTTTAACCTTGATCTTGAGCCTCACCCTCCCTTGAATTTTATTTTCCTTTGTTCCCACCCTGTTCCTGATCTCTTTATCTCCACCTTGCTCCCATAACCCTATGGTCCTTGGAACTCTGCCCTCCCTGTGTCTCATTCTATTCCAGACCCCACTGCCTCCACTCCACTCTGTCTCTCACCACATTCTTTTGTGGGGACCCAGGATGATTGACCTGGGTTGGTTAATTCTTGAGGGCAGAATATTAAAGTTTTGTACATATTACATAAGAAGGATAAGAGAAATGAAAAGGGTTTCTTGTTTAGATATCAATAACATATGAAATGACATGACAAAACATCAGCTCCTCAACAAAAACCTTATTAGTCATGAATAGTTCCTAGATTTCCTAGATATGAACAGGAAGGGGATGCAGCCTCCTATGCCATAGAATCTTTAAACCAAATCTTGGAATTGTGAAAGAAAACAGTTCCAACATTGTATTCTCACTTTTTTCTGAAATAACCCCATATTTTTCATACTTGAAAAATGATTAATAGTCCATAGGGAAAAAATAAACCAACATAGGGATTGATGGATTTTCATTCAGTTACAAAAGATAAAGATCACAGAATCCTGTTATAATTGGCCTAGTGGATGGAGGTTTCACTTTTTAAAAGAGCAAAGGAAAATATACAAAATTAACTCTCCAAATCCAAATAGGTTAGTAACACCAGGCACAGTTCGGAGGCTGAGAATGCCTTGGGCCATGAAGGGTTCTCTCAAGTTTTCTTCCTCTGGAATGTGTTCAGCACCAGCCCAAAATCTTCAGGTGAACCAGGCCCGGAGGTAGACCATGAAACAGATTCTGAGAATGAGTTTCAGCACAGAGGCAGGAGTCCACACATCATTTCATTCCACCAATACCTAATCTTTGGTTCCTCCTTTCCTCATTTCCCATGCCTGTTAGCTTCAGCCCTTGGACTGTGGTTGGTCCAAATAGAGATGTACTTAACGTGTCAAATTCACACCTATACCAAAGACTTTGCAAGTTAAAGAGTTTATGTTAGTTACATTAAGAGCTTTGGTATATGGGACTACATAAAATACATTATTTAAAATTAAATTTATTCATTTCTTTTGTAGCTCTAGAAAATTTGAAAGCATGAATATGGCTTGTACTGTTTTATTGGAGATTGCTATTCTGGGGACTTGCACATATGGGTAATCATTTCCTTAGTCTTTCCCAGATTATGGGTACAAAGCACCCATATATGGAATTGTGAAGAGGTAACATGGCTGGGTATGAGAAATTATTCATTAGTTCGCTAGTTCACTGGATGGCTTTACGTAACTGAGAGATAGTTATGCTCTTCATGAAAATGTAGGAGCCAAATAGGAGAACTGGTATTGTAGTAGGCAGCTTTATATACTGCTGGATGCATAGGGGTCCACACTGCCTTCTCCCTACCGAGGCACTCCTTCCCAACTATGACAGCAACTTGAACATAAAGAAAATGAGTAGTCTGTCTACCAGTGAGTTTATTAGCAAGACAAAAGGGTAGAGTTTATCCAGCTTCTGTAAAAAATTTTTTTAAAAAAGGTTCCTTTTATCTTAGGCAGTGACAAAGAAATCCCCCAAAGGGTGTTCTGCGGAGTCTACTTTTATTAAACAGGCAGTTGGACAGACAACACTGTGATCAGGGCATTTCAGAGCACAGACCAGGTGGGGATTTCTGTGTGCTCTAAGACCACAGTGTCTAGGAGGAAAGAGATGGAAAAAGACTGAAAATCAGTGGGTCCAGTCCCAACAACTCTGCATTGTTTTCTATAGTAAATAAGAAGAACTCTGAAGCATTCTTTATATATACAGATGATGAAGGTAGGAGGTTCAGAATTTAGGGCATATTTTTTCCCTCATTGCATCCACCAATCCTTGAATCATTTGTCCTGGAAGAGAAGATGGGAAGGTCAGATGATAGAAGTCAGGGACACTGCAGAGAACTGAACTGTACACAGCTGTACTTTAATCAGAGATTCCTGCACTCTGCTAAGAATTAACAATTTATAGTTCTTTTCACATTTTATCCAGTGTTTTCCTATGAATATCGTTTGAGCTCCTAGCATGTTTGAACTCCTGTTGAGGTAGATAATACAGAAATGAATATAGCTTAACTCTGCTCTTGATTACATGTGACCTTCGTGATGATAAAAAAGGTAGGTGTCATTAACACTATTTCATAGTTGAGGAAATTGGGCTTCAGATCTTAGTGGCTTACTAAATTCTCAGATTAGGTCATGTTGAATCCAATGCCTGTGATATTAATGCTCTTCTATTACAGTTTGTTTTGCACCTTTAGAATAGAATCAGCTATACTCCTTTCCTGGCTTACCTGTTTTCAAACACTGTTGAACTCAAAATTTAAAACATTAATCAAAATTTAAAAAAAAATTAAAAGGGGGTGAAGGCCTAAGACTGTCCTTCTTGGTAACTGCATGTCATCAGCTACTACCATCATGGCAAGAGCAGTTAAGTCATTCCAAACTTAACTATTTATTTCAGTACCTACACATCAGCTTAACAAGATTTCCTTTGGTTTGAAAGGGACAAGCTGTGGTCTTGTCAAATCTTTGATAATATGTCATAATGTTGAGAATAGTTATTTATTCATCTCACAAAATTATATTTGTATTTTCCTTTATGTGGGAACTTTTGGGTCCAGCTGCCATAGATGGGTCATGGTCCAACAGTGCTCAGATGACTACCATGGCTGTATATTCCCTGATGGTTGGAACCTATTGCCTGATATAGCAAATCTGAAATAAGATCTTCTTTACAGTGACTGTTTTTCAGAATCTCCTGATGACTAAGGAATCATGACAGGGAATGGATTATGAAGTCAGAAGACACACACTTGACTCAAGATTTGCACTGAGTAACTTGGATAAATGGCAGAGTTTCTCCCAGGTTGGTTTTCTATAAGACGGGGAAGGTGACAATTCCTGCTCTAATCATAAGAATGGTATGAAGATGCAAAAGGGAAAATGTATTTGCAACTCTAAAGAGCTACGTAAATCTTAGTAGTTTCTGTATAATAGAAATCACAACTTAGATAGTAAGCAAATGTATGAGTTTCAGGATCCTCAACCTACTTTTTGAGAAAGTTGCCACTGCCTGGCATCATTTCATTCTTGGGATGCCAGACTCTCTTGGAGGATCTTCCACCCAGCAGTAAAGCTCAGGCAATAGGTTCTAACCTATAGCTAACCCAGAATATACCACCATAATAACCAGCAGTGCAATACTGAGCCATGCCCATCTGTACCACCTGTACCCAAGATCACTCTAAACCACACAGAGGGAGATGAAACTGCACCCATATCCAGGAAACCTTCTGGTACAGAAATTTGTTTCACAAAAGAACACTATAAAAATTTTCCTGTCATTAATAACACCAGCTGTGGAACTCTAGTGGAAAGGAAATACCCAGAAATTAAAGGAAACAACTACTCTCCAAAGCCCTGGGTGCTGACCCCCTGACAAGATTCTTCATTATTTGAAAAATATATATATATCTTATAAGTGTAACCTTAAGGCAAGCTCCTCCTGAAGTAGTTTTTGTCAAGTCACCCACACAGGATGCTTGTTACAGGGAGGTGTGGTCTATCTGGCTGGAATAAAGATTATTTCCACCTCTTCTTTCTAAGATATATGCGAAGAGGTATGTTTGTGAGGAAGGAGAACAGTATATTCTGTCAATAAAATAGGATCAAAAATTTATATATGGAATAGATCAGAAAATAACATAGGAACTAGCCTTGTCTTTTATGGATGTCTAAAGATCCAACATAGATAATTGCCTGTCAAGTTACATGAGAAAGAAATAGAGGTTTCCTGGTTCTTGGTCTACTCTATTCTGCCTTCCCACTGCTATTGTGAGACCAGAAATACCTGATCACACTCCTAGTATTCCCAATTTCCCACATCAAGGCAATAAGGACTCATTTAGTGTTGCTTTCAAATCTAGCAGAATATTTTTAATTCCATTATTGCTAAAGCTTTTTGTGGCAGTGGCATGAAGTAAAGTCCATTGAAAAATAATAAAGTTGTTAAATATAGTTTATTAAGATATTTTCATTTTGTTTGATGCAAATATTAAGTATAGTCACATTAAAATGTAATTAGTTGAATTATTTATTTATTTACATTAACTAGGCACTATGCCAGGGTCTTTTTCTAAATTTATACTTGGGACTATCTCTAAATTTATACTCTGGTCTTAGGTATAATAATGACAGTGATCATCATAATAAAAGTTGTTATTTGTGTTTTAGATGCTGTTCCATGTGTTTTAAAGACAGTGCTTAGTGATTATTTTCAATAGTTCATTGAGATCTTTAGCTTACCGTATTTATGTGATTCACCAAAGGTATCATGCATGAAAAACATTAAAAACTTTCATTTGTGCCCATATTTATCTTCTAACTAAGTGTTTTCTCTTATTTGAAATTTTTTTTCCAGGTTATAAATCATTTTTCCTGGGGAAGAAACTTCTCAAATAAAGTTACCAGGGAGATCAAAGACAGTTATATGTGTTAAAATATCCTTGCAGGGATTTAAATGAAATGGGTCAATGTTCAAGGCTTGGGAAAATTAAATGCAGTGTAATATGAGAGGATATGAGCATTACATAGAAATGGCTGCAATCCAGCTCTGACCCTACCCCTATTCTCTGCTTCATCTTTTTCATGTGGATTATAGAGAATAAAAATTATCCTGCAAACCGTAATGTTAGATTGGAGACATTGCTCATAAAAATCTATTAACAAGTCAAGTAATGAGTCTAAAATGTAAACTGGTGTTATTATTCCTACATATTTCAATCATTACTTAATTATCTTCACAGTAAAAATATGACCAATTCTGGGGTTACCAGACGTAGTGTCACTTCTCTGGCCTGAGAAATTTCCATCACCCAGAACAAGAGGACAGAGGCAGACCAGCTGCTTCTAACACTCTGAGCAGGAAGTCTCGAGTACTCACAGATGCCTGTGCATCCACAGGGGCTTCTGGGATGCTGCTTTCCCCACACTTCCCTTCACTACGTATGTGTATATTCATTTGACGCATCCTAAAACAGAACAGAAGAAGATTCAAGAATCCTACATGATATATAAATAAGGATCAACGTAAGTAAAACTGAACATCAAAAACTGGAGTTAGAAGGGCCTGGGATCAAAACGCAACCATTCTCCAGGGTTCATCCTCTAGGTTCAGTCTCTCTTGCTCCAGATATCCTCTAGCCCTGAACCTACACTGTCACATTTCATCCACTAATACTCATAGAATTTCAGAATGTTGGACATCATCTACTCCACAGGTCATGATTTTGTAGATGGGAATATCAGATCCCAGAGAGAAGGCTGACTAAATTTATGTAATATGACTTGGGCCACAGAAAATATAACAAAGACACCATCAAACAGTCTGTACCTCATCATTTGAAATAATCTTAAAGAGTAGGAATTATAGTGCCTATCACTCAAGAAATATTATGAATCAAACATGGACTTGTTTGCCTCTAGGGTTGGAAACTGGTTGTCTAACAAGAAAGGGCACTTTGTCTTTGGATAGAATTTATGTTGAAATTTCTCCCCTACAACTTCTCTAACATCAGTGAAAAAAAATGGCCCCTCTTGTCTGGGATAACCTGAGTCTTCTCTTCTCTATAATATATATTCCCAGATTCTTTTGCTAAACAATACATCCTGAGGCATGCTTTATTAATATTTTCATCATGTAAGTTTCTGACTCTAAATCTCCCTTGAATAGAGGATCAATTTTTATGGGCCTATACAGTTAATACAAAGTTTGATGAAATTATATAGATGATTTAATTCCTGATACTTGTAATGAAAAGGAATTGGAGGATTTCTGGACTGGGTGTACAGTATACACAACAACTTATCTCCTAGACGATAATATTCACTGCTTAAACAAGGCTTATTAACTCTAAATTCTGTAGGGTTCATAAATGGTTTATAAGTCACCCATAAGCCCATAGATGTTATGCATACAAGTCTCTCAAGTTACATCATTATTTTTCTATTCTTAAAAGCAGTAACTTTTTTATATTACCAAAGGAATCCTTGCTTCCACAAAGTTTTATTGAGCTACTGCTTTGGATATAACTGGAGTACAGTGAATAAATAATTAAAAAAACTATTTAGACCCAAATCAACAAGGCTAAGATGTTGTCTAATGTATTTCCTGGCTTTGTGACTTTTAATGAATTACCTGAACTCTCTAAACCTCTCTGAACAAAGATGCCAATACCCCTCCATAGCAGGTTATAGGGACTCCTTGACTGAATGTGAAGGTATTCTATCTACCATATCTTACATACTTACATATAGTTCCTAGAACACATAAGCACTTATATGCATAATTTATGTTTTTAAGTATGTGACCTGGGGATGTTTTTTTTTCTTTTATGAGTTATTTTATTCAAAATAGAATAAATGCCAATTCAGATATTTTCTAGGTTTAAAAACCAGGATATCAAGGAGTTTCTTCCTTATATCCTGGACCTTGTTTGCAGTGTTGAAAGAAGGCCCGAGTAGTAATTGAACTGCAGTGTAAGTCTAGGGTGGCGTGGGATGGAAAAGCCAAACTCCATCACCATAGTTTCATTGAAAACTGGTCTACTGGAACAAAGTTAAAACCAATAGTAAAAGCAATAAAATAGATTCCTTAAAATAAAAATATTTTCACATCTAACAGTAATTCTAAATAACCTGTGGAGTCAGCTGCTTAGAGAACTGTCTCCACTTTTTTAATGAAGATATCAAAGGAATGATGAGGCAATTTGGATTGCACAGACAGTAATAAATTAGAATTAACCTAGACATCAGTATGCCATTTGCTCTGGGATTCCTTTTTTTTTTTTTGGTTCTGGTAATTGAACCCAAGGGCATTTAACCACATTCCAGCCTATTTATTTATTTATTTATATTTTGAGACAGGATCTCACTACGCTTCTTTGGTCCTCCCTAAGTTGTTGAGGCTGGCCTTGAACTTGAGATCCTCCTGCCTCAGCCTCCTGAGCCACTGGGATTACAGGTGAGCATGACACCTGGCAAGTTTTGCACTGTCTTTTGTATGGAACCACTTCCTTCAATAAGAAGGTTCACAGAAGGTGGGAAGTCAGTGACTCTCTTATAGCCATAGGACTTGTTTAGACATCATAGGTGAGGCTGACTCTACACAGCAGTGGTTCTCCACGCTTTCCTTAGCCATGTGCAGGACGGATGATGTCCATGCTCCCATGAGTATACATGAGCTTATAGAGAAGCTCTGTAATGGCTGTAGCCAAACCCCTGTTTGTGTTCTCTTCTACTCAGTAAAGAATATAACAATATACGTAAGCAATTTTATCAAAGAAATAGCAGTGAATCCTTTCTATTACATATAAGAAAGATGTGGAATTTTGAATTTTTTAACTGTTATGATTTATAAATGACTAAAATATTCCCCAACAGGGCTGGAGATATAGCTCAGTTGCTTGCACAAGGCCCTGAGTTCTATTCCCCAGCACCACACACACACACACACACACACACACACACCAACATGATATGATATCAGTACACTAGTGTAGGTCAACACTATCGCTGGGCTGCTCTGGGAGTTTTGAGGTGCATCCTGCATACTTACAGGTTTTCATGACAGAGCATACAAGGGTTGTTATATGTTTGTCCATCATCACCACAGATAGGCTGTAAATCCTTTGGGCAAAGAAAACCCATCCTTGGCAGCACTCGGTACTGTTTGCACATCTCGGAATCCTGAACAAACAAAGCATAAAGCAGACTTACTTAACAGCATTCAAAGAAAAGGACGGGTTTGGGAGCACATCCTGGTTTCCTTAATCACATCTGGGTAAATGATTAGGAACAGGACAGTGATACAAACTACATATTTATTTCACACCATATTAGACAGACTTAACCTCCTGGATTTGGCTTTTTTTAAGTATAAAAGACGACTTTCTAAACAAAGGAACCAAGGAGAACAAAACAATAAGAGCATAAATCCCATGAAGTACCAGGCATGGTAAGCTGTGCATGCCTAGGAAGAAAATTAGGATGTTAATCACACAAAAAATAACATCCACTTTTTAAAGGAAGGTGCTGTTAATGTACATCCTAGAAGGAAAAAAAAAAAAAAAAAACTCATAGCTAAATACTAGTTAATTGCATAGGTTTTTGAGACCTAGCTCTGCCACTAAGTAGAGAAGCAATTTACCTAGATTTTTTGAGCCTTAATTTCCTCACCTGAATAACAATAATAGTAGCTCTTACATTATTGATTTTGGAATTATATCAAGTAATGTATTTGAATGCATGCGTAATACAGAGTCTATTGCATTCCAAAAGCTCAGTAAATGTTAGTTATCAGTACATTTTCCATGGTAATCATTGTATTTTCAACATAGAAGAAACATGTTTTTATAGTCTTTTGGAAGTATGAGTTGAACAATACTTAATATGATAGCAAAAACAACAAAAATAATTTGATTATTCAGAAAAAAAAAGTAAGACCAAAAGAAAAAGAATTAAAGGAGGGTGAACAGATTTGAAAACAAATAGGATGACAGAAGACAAATTTGATGGTGATTATAAATGTTACAAGACAGAAATGTCAAGCAGGAAGAACATGAAGGTCCTATTATCATTTATAAGAAATATACTTTAAGTATGAGGGAATTGGCAGGTTTAAAGTACAAGAATGAGTCTTAAATCACTCATGACTGAAAGTCATGATACAATTTAGAAATGATTTAGAGTAAAGGACAGCAAAAATATAAACTATCCAGGGGCTGGGATTGTGGCTCAGCAGTAGAGCGCTCCCCTAGCATGGGTGGGACCTGGGTTCGATTCTCAGCACCACATAAAAATAAAGGCATTGTGTTGTGTCCATCTACACCTAAAAATAATAAATATTTAATATATATATACATATATATATATATATATATATATATATATATATATATATATATAAACTATCCAATCTCAGCAATTTAAGCAGTGGTTTGAGAGAAATTTAAAATTTATACAGATTGAAAAATAAGAAAGTTTTAAAATCAATTATGAAAACTACTATCTCAAGAATCCAGCAGATGATGGGCAAATTAAGTTCAAAGAAACCAGAAGGGAAAAAAGGAGAAAGTAATGAAATAAAGAGAACAAAGCCAAAAGCTAGCTTCTAGAAGAGATTAATAGATTGATTAATAGAGTGATATCTACCTGTGAAGTCAATGAAAAAGGCAGAAAAATACACATCACCATTCTTAAAAATAAAAAGACATATCAACTACAGATATTAAAAGGATAACATGGAAACATTGTGAATAACTATATGCCAATGAAATTGACAACTTAGAACAAATCAATAAATTTATTGGAAACTACACTCTGAAACAAACACAAAGAAGAAATTAAAAATGCAATGGTATTATAACCGTTGATACTCTAAGGGATTTGGGCAGCAACTACTTGTTCTTTTGTTTTGATAAATAATTCAAACGTCTAAATAAACTGCTTTAGACTGTAGTGAGTTCCATATTAATATAAATATTCAGGGAGATTTCAGACAGGAACTTCTAGGAATCTTGGCAAATCTGGACTGAACTAGTTAAGTCCGTTGTATTTTCAGGTTACTGTAGCTGCAATGATTGGTATCAGGATAAAGCCCCACAAAAGAAGCAAAAGACAGAAGCAACAAAGGCAGGATGCTTCTTTTCTTAGTACATTGACTCTGAACAAATTCTCTTGACTCCACTTTTAAAGTGGAGCCAGAATCCCACCACCTCTGAGGAGCTCTACCCTCCATGGTGGTAAAAGCCAGCATAACTTTTTCATGAATTACTGCAGTCTCTCATGGATTATCTGGCTTCTGCCCTTGCCTCCCTGTAATGTCTTTCCAGAATGATTTGCTGTGTGTTCTTGGCTATTAGGAAGGGATTGGGCTGGAGGAGGCAAATGAGTGGAAGCTGAGTGATGGACCTTTCTGACCTGCAGATATTAGAAAATTAAGGCATCCTACTACATGTTTAACTACACATTGAATTAGTCCCACCCAATTCTTAAAATTTCAGAATGTTCCCAATGCAATCATGGCTAATAATCTCAAAGAGCAGAAAGATGCACTGATGAGTAATCCCAGAGATGTCACCAAGCATGAACTGCATCTAGTCCTCTAAGCAAAGCTCTCTCTTGGGGCTGCACCCAATCAGCCTCCCCAGACCCTGCTAGCAAATGGGAATTATGCAAAAGGAGCAGCTGTAGTGAAAATGCAAGTGAATTAAATTCTTGAATAGGTTTTCAAAATAGTCATTCTTACCAGAGAAGAATTGGGTGAACCTGGGCTTTTTTCCTCTTCGGAAGCTCTAATGTGGAATGACATTTTACGAAGTTTTACCTTTTCAAAAGTTTCTTTTTGACTGAGCAAGGGAAGAAAATATCATCATCATCATCATTATCATCATTATTATTATTATTTAAAGTAATAATCACAAGGGGAATGTGAATGGGATGTCTAGTGGGAAGTTGGGCAATCTTGGTAAAATATTATGGAACCCAGAACATTAGAGAGCAACCAGGAAAAACCATCTAGAAAAGTATGCAACAGGGAGTTGGTGTAGAGCTCTTATCACTTCATAGATGTGTGACCTTAGACAAGTGGCCTAGAGTCTTTGAGTCTCAATTTCCTAGAATATAGAGAGTACAGTGTTGGTAGTTCCTACTTCAAAAAACATACTCTGTGAAAGTTAAATAAATATTGTTATTCTTATCTTAGTGTTTTTCATAACTATTGATTGTCACCATCATCAACTTGTACATTGGTCTCAAAATTTGTTTGATCATTAAGACAATTTAGAAACTCTTTCTAAAACACAAATTCTTTAGCTCTAGAAATTTTGATTTAATAAATTTTTAAGTATAAAAATCTGCTGAATCCAATAGAGTTGTAGAACAAAGATTTGGAATGATCCCTTTTAACTATGATGCTGAAAGCAGGCGGAAAAAATGTAAGTGGTACAGAAAGTATCATGGTAAGAACTTACACCTGGGTTTCCTGTCAGCAAGTTCAACCACTCTTTCTACTCTTTCTACCAAGCTGCGTATTCTCACGTTAAGGGCAAGGATTCTAAAGACTTATTTGAAGGACTCTGTGGCTCCATGAGCACACACAGTTATTCAATGAACTGTTTCTAAAAATGCAGCTCCCCTGCTTCTACAGCCAGAGCAGAATCTTCTTACTCACAAGACAGCTCTGCACTTGTGGCACTTGTTTCTGTAGAACTTTCCGTCTTCGCCTCGCACGGGGTCATGCTCTCGGGTACAGATGAGCTCTCCATTCCTCAAGTGTTTCCGAAACTCACTGCACTCATCCTGGAAGATGAGAGAGGGGAGGTTAACAGGGCCTTTTCCTTTTTTTGCTAGGGGGCTTTAGGAAGCAAAGGTGGCTTTAGGTAGTCCTCAGCTGGCTCTGGGCTCAGACTCACTGCTCTGATCCCGGCAACCGAGGCCAAGGTACTCCCAGACTGTCTAAACTTTGCATCCTCTGCTTCATTCTGAACCTCTCTGCACTGGTCCTGGAAATGTAGGGAAACATAAAACAGTACTTGATACGCCTTCCTTCTTGCCCTTGCCCTTTCATCCACTGTTCCCCATTTCCACATTAGATGTGCTGTTAGCTCCAGGAGAATCCCACCAGAATGCAACTCTACAAATGTGATTATCACTGTTAAAGGACTGAATGGAGGTTCTTCTTTGCAGTCTTGAAAAGCAAAATAGAAAAGGCAGCATGGTGTATGCACACTATTGATTCATTGATGCTGAGAAAATCATCTGGAGAAAACAGAAAAAAAGACATCAAGGAGAGAAACTAACCAGAAGACTTAAGATTAGTTTAACTTGCCTGTATTATTCAAACCAATGACTACCAACTACTGGAATCTTCATTTCTCCTAAAGCAGAAAGACTAAAGCAATAATTGACACATGCTCTAGGAAAATTATCCACAAAATCAAGAAAAGCATCAGACCCCCAAAGTCTCATTATGACCCAGAGTGATAACAGTGGCAAATCAATGATCTTTTACATAAAATATTAGTATCTTTGTTATCCCAAGACTGCAGAAGAAGGCAAGATTCTAAAGGTGAAAGGCGGAAGAGTTATTTTGGTATCTTTTAAGAAACAACCTTTGCATCATTTGAAGGCTTGTTTGAAGGCTTGGAACTTGATTCTTCATCATTTTTTCTTTCACTGGCTTCTCGCTCACTGCAGAAGGAAAAAGAAAAATAGGATGTGTGTGTGTGTGTGTGTGTGTGTGTGTGTGTGTTTTAAGGCTTGTTAATGAATTGTCTTTAGACAAGTAATCTTGACAATTCTTTTTTAGGGGGTACTGAAAATTGAATCCAAGGGCACTCAATCACTGAGCCATGTCACCCATTGTTTTTAATTTTTATTTTGAGACAGGGTCTCATTAAGTTGCTTAGTGTCTCACTGAGTTGCTCAAACTGACCTCGAACTTGTGATCCTCCTGCCTCAGCCTCCCGAGTCACTAGGCATGCACCACCAGGCTGCCTAATCTTGCCAATTCTAAACATTAGCAAATCTAACACTATTTCCTCATACTGAAAAAATGCCTGGTCTGTTCTGGGGGTTGGAGTTTTCATATCATATCTGTGGCAATCAATGCTCTCAAGTTTCATTGTTTAACTTACGATACTGTCATATAGAATGACAGAATCCTAAAAGGCCATTACTTTATTTTCTCTTAATAGAATACATTTATTCTCTCATCTACAGAGGTGTTTCCTTTCCCACTTTCACCTCTCCAGGTGTATTATATCTAAACTCTTCATTGTGATTGTTCTTTACATAGTGATAGTGATTTGAAGTTTAGAAACGTTTTAAAAAATGCTCTCACTTTGAATCCCCACAACAACTGTATTGGGTATTCGTTGTATTTCACTCACAGAGAGAAGAGACTGAGGCTCTGCAAAGTGAGCTGGCTTGTCCCAGGTTACTTACTAAACCCCATTTTGAAAGGCCATGGATTTTGTCATTAGACTATAGCTATTTTCCTACCACAGGGACTTCACATAGGATTATGCTTCTTATCATTGAAATTAAAAAAAAAAAAAATCTTAGTGTTTTGGAAACTAACTGTTCTCTTCAGAATTGAAGATCTATTTATCTTTAATGTGTGAAGCCAAGGGCTCTTAGATTTTAAAGTAATAGGCATAATATAACAAATGCACAGATAAATAAGCCTCTTCACTTACAAGACACTCAGACACATGGCACACTTGTTGACATGCATCTTGCCATCTGGGCCTCGAACAGGGTTATTTTCTCTGGTGCAGACAAGCTTTCCATCTTTCTGCTTGCTCCGGAATTCATAACACAGATCCTGTCGACAAGGAGGGGGTGGAGGAGGAAAGATGATGTTACTATAATAGGCTAATCTTTGAAGCCTGAAAACATGATTGGTTGGTTAGATATGAATTCATAACACTTGAAGGGGGAAAAAAAGAAAAAATGAGATTTCTGAGATGAAATGTGTTTTAAAGGTATTCTATCCAATCTCTGTCTAAATAGTTTGAATCCTGTCCACAGAATCTCTCCCAATAACTGTCTGACCCTAGTGGAATTTCACTACTGCTTGGAGAAAACATTCTATTTTTACATAGTCTCTTGAGATGCTGACCACTAAATCTGTTTCTGCAACTGTAGTCATTACTATATACATTAAAAAGTCTAATTCGACAGCCCTGGAATGAATGGAAAACACTCTTGTGGCTACAAACATGTAAATGTTCAGCTTTGTTCCTCAATACAATTTTTAACCCCTCCCCCCCCCCCCCCCACACTTTTTTTTTTTTTTTTTTTTAATCAAATGCGGACTACATGTCAGGCATTTGTTACATGCTCTAATAGGTTTCCTGTAGTGGTCATAGAAATCCATAAGATAAATATTCATTATCCCCATTTTCAGATGAGGAAAATATGAATCAGCAATATTAAGTAGTTAACATCAAAGTTAGAGTTTTGACCAGGAATCTTATGACAACTAGGCTTTTCTTTTTACTGCTTTGCTTTTACATGCAAGATAAAAATCCTGTCTACTTCTTAAAAATAAAAATAGAGCTGAGTGTTTTTTCCCCTCCCAGTTTTGGAACCTAGGACCTGACACATAGTAGGCAAGTGCTCTACCACTGAACCACACATCCAAGCTGACTTTTTTGTTGGTTGAAAATAAGGACATCAAAAAGAAGCCAATACAATATGTAAATCAATGGATGTGTAACTGATGTGATTCTGCAATCTGTATATGGGGTAAAAATGGGAGCTCATAACCCACTTGAATCAAATTGTGAAATATGATATATCAAGAATTATGTAATGTTTTGAACAGCCAACAATAAAAAATAAAAAAAAAAGAAGCCAATATAACTGAGTCCACAGAACCTGGCATTTTTTTTAAAGCTTTGGAGATGTGTAGAAGTCACTTGAACTTCCTTTAACTTCAAAGAGGCAAAGTAGAGATATGAAAACATCCTAAAAAATACTGCTAAATGCCTAGAGATCATAGTGTTTTTTTTCTTTAAATTGTGATATTCATAAACAATTCCAGGACTTCTTTTGTTGTAGTTGTTGTTGTTTTAATGTGCAGGGATCAAACCCGGCCTCACATATGCCATGCAAGCCCTCTACCACTGAGCCATGTCTCCCATCCTCCAGGCCTGCTTTAATTTGCTGCATGAAGAAGTGAAGAAGAAGAAGAAGAAGAAGAAGAAGAAGAAGGAGGAGGAGGAGGAGGAGGAGGAGGAGGAGGAGGAGGAGGAGGAGAAGAAGAAGGAAAGGAAGGAAGGAAGGAAGGAAGGAAGGAAGGAAGGAAGGAAGGAAGGAAGGGGCAGGAAAGATCTCTGGAATTTGAAATTGAATACCTGATAAATATATTAAATGTCTCACAACCATCATTTTTAGAAGTAACTAGAATCATATTCTTTTCTAGGTGCCCAGAGTACCACAAACATTCATCTTAGTACCCATCTGCCTGTAGTGCAACTCTTGCTTTAAGGGTTTAGTCCCTTCTGTTTAATATTTATGTGTAGTCACTGTCTCTTGAATTTTTCTCAGTTGTAAAATTTAAACAACCCACATCATACATATTAGGGATTTCTAAATAGGATAATTTTTACTTACAGATGAACCAGAGTTGCCTTTTGACACATACACGAAATCTTAATTTTAAATACAAATACACACACACACAGTTATTTTTTGGTGTGAAATTTCTAAAATATTACAAACATGAAAATTGACCAAAATTTTACAGGAAATCCAGGTCAGATCATCTGAAATTGTATAATAAATTGTATTCTCAAAGCCTTTCATCACTAAAATGCACAATAGATATTGCCCAAATATTTTATAGTAATTATGATTACTATTAATGTTTCATTTTGTTTAGTCCAGTACAGTGAACTGATGAAAAGTTGCCTCACTACTTGGAAAACCTGCTTAGGAAAATTTTACTATTTTGTTTTTCTATTTGGAATCTCTGGACAGATTAGAAGGATGACCCTATGTAATGTTCTATAGGGTGAACACTATTTATAAAGCCAAAATCAACTCTAGGTGGCACTGAAATGCCAGCTAAAGAATTTATCTTCTGGAACTCTAATTTTGATACTTGCTTTCTTATTTGTAATTTTTGGTACCTGTTTATTTGTTTGTTTTAAAACTTTAGAAGTGAAATTCCCTGAATGTATGATCACAATAATTTAAGAACTGTCACTTGCCCTACAAATGTGTGCATCAGAGCTGATCCTGGGGCTCTGGAGAGCAGGCTGTTTCTTTGTAAGAAGGAGCCTCGTCTTTCACGCTTACTGGAATGACGGGGAAATTCTGCCCTCCACAAACACTCTTCAGATGAATTCATGAACAGCAAAGCAACCTAGTGTAGGCATTAGTGTGTCTAGCATGCATCACCTCCTTGTTGTTGTTCTTTTCCCCTGTATTTTTCTTTTCTTCATCTTCTTTCTTTTTTTTCTCAGCTGCTTCCTTTTCCCTGAAGGAAAGGAGGAAAAGAAACATTTCAACCAAAGTGAATAAACCCCTCATCAATGACAAGATCTGCTTCTAAAACAATTTCTCCTTTCTCACATTGTTGAGAAATTGCACTTTCCTGACTTGCAGACAAGACCCCCTTTTTTGGTAGGTACTCACAGCCTCTCCTTACACATGGCACATTTATTGCCATGTGTCTTGCCATCAGGACCCCGGACGGGGTCGCTCTCTCGAGTGCAGATGAGTTGTCCATTTTTTAGTTGGCTTCTAAACTCATCACATACATCCTGAAAAGAAGGAAACATTATGTCAGAAGTGCTGTTTTCACATAGTATTGACTGGATTTGACAATCAGATTGCATCCAAGAGCAAGGCAGCCAGTTAATCTTGCTTTGCTTGATACAATTATGGCTCATAAAAATGTCTGTGTCCCAATTTCTGGAACCTGCAAAAATGCTGCTTTACATGTCAAGGGCGGGGGGTTGTATTGAATATAGAATTAGATCTGGCATTTATGTTTGAAATGGGGAGGTTGTCAGACTGGATCAAATGTAAATACAAAGGTTCTTATCCATGAAAGAGGGAAACAAGAAAGTCAGTGTCACAATGATAGAGCATAATAGAGACTTGGCAGGCCCTGGCTCGCTTTGAAGACAAGCAGGTTGCCTCCAAAAGTTAAAGAAGGCAAAGAATCAGAACTTTCTCTGGAGTTTCCACAAAGGAACACAACTTTACTGATGTGCTGGTTTCAGTGAGACCATTTAGAATTTCTAAAATCCAGAAATTTAAGATAATAAGGTTGTATTGTTATATGCTACTGTTTAGAGTGATTTGTTATAATAGCAATTAAAAAAGAACTATACTTGTTAAAACTCATTTTCTCTAAAATAAAGTTTAAAGGTTTTACAAGCTGCTGAGACAATTGAATAAACTATGATTTATTAATTGTAATGATTAATAAATCATTAGACTGGAAGGTTCCCATTTGACATTAAATTGCCAAATTTGCAAATTGCCAATAATATTCTTGTTTTAACATTGGTTCCTGACCTTCAAAGGACAAGATGTTGGTTGACCATATTCACAACCCCTTTCTATGTCTATGAGGACTTAGAGAAAGACAGTTCTGTCAAAACCTAGTTAATGACTCACCTTTCCTGACTCTGATCCAGTCTCATTTGATCTGATGCCAGAATTCTTTTCTTTTTCCTCTACTTCTTTTTGCCTGAGAGAAAAAAGTGTCAAAAAGTGTCACCTTAGCAGCACGTACTCAGGGGTGATGGTTTACATAGCCTGAACCTCCTCTAGAGCAACTCCCTCTGCCCCTCATAGAGGAGGACAGTCCACTGAGTTACTGACCTTAGAGCAGTTGACCTTCATCACAAGGTACATCAACTCCCAATTACAGTCTCCTATGTTTGTGTACAGATTTATCTTACTTTAAATTTCATTCTGTTGATCATATTCTCAGAACAATACAGAGCTTGACACTCAATCTATTACTCCTTGGTGTTAGCCCTTTCCTCAGGTCCTTGGTCTTTCAGTATAAGCAATGGTTTCTACTGCTGCATCAACTCCCCATTCCACTTCCTTAACTTTGAAGTCAACCCATTAAATCATCATTTCTCAAAGTGTGGAACCCAAAATAGAAATAAGAGTAATATGAAAAGCATCTGAGGATCACATTCTGTTTTATATCTTATCTTTCTCATTGTTATGGGTTAGATGTGAGGTGTCCCCCAAATGCTCATGTGTGAGACAATGCAAGAAGGCTTAGGGGTGAAATGATTGGGTTATAAAAGCCTTAACCCAATCAGTGAGTTAACCCTCCAATAGGGATTAAGTGGGTGGTAACTGAAGGCAGGTAGGGTATGGCTGGAGGGGTGGGTCCTCAGGGGCATGTCTTTGGGGTATATATTTTGTATCTGGTAAGTGGAGTCTCTCTGCTTCACAGTGGCCATGTCTGAAGCTACTTCTTTGAGTCACACTGTTCTGCCCTGATGTTGAGCCTCACTTTGAGCCCCAAGGAGTGGAGTTGGCCCTCTATTGTTGAGCCCCCACAAAAGCCTCTTCTTCCTCTAATTGTTCTTGTCAGTCTTTCAGTCACAGCAGTGAAATAGTTGACTAAAACACTCACAAATGATTTATGCCAGTGGTCTATAAGTTTTTACATGCATTAAGAATTACCTGAGAGATTGTTCAATTTTTTTTTCTTTTTCAAAATTTTTTTATTTGTTTTAATCAGTTATATATAACAGTAGAATGCATTTATGCACTTTGATATATCCCATACATAGATGGGATATAATTTCTCATTTTTCTGAGTGTACATGTTGCAGAATCATATTGGTCATGTAATCACTTATGTACACACAGTAATAATGTCTGTTTCATTCTACTATCTTTACTATCCCCACATCCCCTCAAGAAGGTTTAGAGGTGAAATTGGTGTTAGCCCTTTCCTCAGGTCTCCTCCCCTCCCCTCCCATCACTTCTCTGTACCTAATCTAAGATAATTCTATTCTTCCCTAGTGCCCCCTGCCTTATTGTGAATTAGCATCTATATATAAGAGAAAATATTTTGGCTTTGGTTTTCTGGGATTGGCGTATTTCACTTAGCATGATATTCTCCAACTCCAACCATTTACTGGTAAATTCCATAATTTTACTCTTCTTTAAAGCTGACTACTATTCCATTGAGTATACATACCACATTTTCTTTATCCATTCATCTATTGAGTGAGATGAAATCTTAGAGTAGTTTTGATTTGCATTTCTCTGATTGCTAGAGATGTTGAACACTTTTTCATATATTTGTTATCCGTTGTATTTCTCTTCTGTTGGTTCTATAGTCTAGCTATTGTGAATTGAGCTTCTAGAAACATTGATGTGGTTGTGTCACTGTAGTATGATTATTTTAAGTCCTTTTGGTATAAACCACGGAGTAGGATAGCTGGGTCAAATGGTGGTTCCATTCCCAATTTTCTGAGGAATCTCCATACTGTTTTCCATAGTGATTGCTCCAATTTGCAGTCCCACTAGCAATTTATGAGTGTACCTTTTTCACCACATCCTCACCAACATTTATTGTTGCCTGTATTCTTGATGATTGCCATTCTTTTTGACAGGAGTGAGATGAAATCTTAGAGTAGTTTGATTTGCATTTCTCTAATTGCTAGAAATGTTGAACTCTTTTTCATATATTTGTTGATCAATTGTGAAGTGTCTGTTCAGTTTCTTAGCCCTTTTATTGATTGGGTTATTTGTTTTTTTGGTGTTAAGTTTTTTGAGTTCTTTATATATCCTAGAGATTAATGCTTTATCAGAGGTGCATGTGGTAAAGATTTTCTCTCAATCAGTAGGCTCTCTCATCACATCATTAATTGTTTCCTTTGCTGAGAAGAAGCTTTTTAATTTGAATCCATTCCATTTATCGATTCTTGATTTTAATTCTTGTGCTTTAGGGTAAGGAATTCAGATCCTTAGGCTGATGTGGTAAAGATTTGGGCCTATTTTTTCTTCTATTAGGTGCAGGGTCTCTGTTCTAGTGCCTAAGTCTTTGATCCACTTTGAGTTGATTTTTGTGCATGGTGAGAGATAGAAGTTTAATTTCATTTTGTTACATATGGAATTTCAGTTTTACCAGAACCATTTGTTGAATAGATTATCTTTTCTGCAGTGAATATTTTTAGTACCTGTTTCTAGTATAAGATAACTATATATATGTGGGTTTGTCTCTGTATCCTCTATTCTGTACCATTGGTCTACAAGTCTATTTTGGTACCAATTCCATGCTGTTTTTGTTACTATAGCTCTGCAGTATAGTATAAGATCTGGGATTGTGATGTCTCCTGTTTCACTTTTCTTGCTATGTATTGCTATAGCTATTCTGGGTCTCTTATTTTTCCAAATAAATATCATAATTCCTTTTTCTATTTCTATGAAGAATGTCATTGGGATTTTAATAGGAATTGCACTAAATCTTTTGGTATTATGGCCATTTTGACAATATTAATTCTGCCAATCCAAGAGCATGGGAGATCTTCCAATCTTCTGAAGTTTTCTTCCATTTCTTTCTTGATTGTTCTGTAGTTTTCATTGTAGAAGTCTTTCACCTCCTTTGTTAGATTGATTCCCAGTTTTATTTATTTATTTTTTTTTGAGGCTAATGTGAATGAAGTGTTTTCCTAATTTCTCTTTCAGTGGATTCATCACTGATATATAGGAATGTATTTGATTTATGGGTGTTGATTTTATGTCCTGTTACATTGCTGAATTCATTTATTATTTCTAAAAGTTTTCTCATGGAATTTTTTTGGATCTTCTCGGTATTAAATCATGTCATCAGCAAATAGTGATAGTTTGAGTTCTTCTATACCTGCTTGTATCCTTTTAATTTCTTTCTTTTGTCTAATTGCTCTGGGGAGAGTTTCAAGGACAGTGTTGAATAGAAGTGATAAAAGAGGACATCCTTGTCTTGTTCCATTTTTTAGAGAGAATGCTTTCAATTTTTCTCCATTTAGAATGATGCTGGCTTTATTTGGCATATATAGATTTTACAATGTTTATCATGTTCCTACTATCCCTAGTTTTTCTGGTGTTTTGAACACAAAGTTTTGCTGTATATTGTCAAATGCTTTTTCTGCATCTATTGAGATAATCATGTGATTCTTGGTTTTAAGTCTATTAATTATATTTATTGATTTCCCTATGCTGAACCAACCCTGCATCGTGGTGCACTATCTTTTAAATATATTTTTGTATATGATTTGCTAAAATTTTATTGAGAATTTTTGTATCTTTGTTCATCAGGGATATTGGTCTAAAGTTTCTTCCCTCAATGTGTCTTTGTCTGGCTTTGATATCAGGGTGATATTAACCTCATATAATGAGTTTGGAAATATTCTAAATAATTCACAAATAAATTATGAATGGATAGTAGAAGAAATCAAGGATGAAATAAAGAAATTCTTAGAGTGCATTCATTAAAAGAATAAAAAGTCAACAAATAAATGACCTAACACTACATCTCAATGCCCTAGAAAAAGAAGAACAGGTCAACACCAAAAAGCAGTAGAAGACAGGAAATAATTAAAATCAGAGTTGAAATCAATGAAATAAAATACTCATGGACAGGTAGTCTTCAAGTGAACTAGACAAACTTCTTGCAATTATGAAACTACAATATAGAAAATATAATGTAAAATAATATAGATAATAGACAAATAAGCAAATAACTAAATAAGACAAGATGATAAAGATAATAAAGTAACAGAAAGGGAACACAGCTGCTGTTTTAATTATGGTATTCAGAAAGGCCGGAGAGTTTAGGGAGACCTGTAAATTATGGACGAAGTAAACCATTTGGAAATCAGGAAGAAGAAACAATTGAAAAAATTGACAAAACAAAAAGCTGGTTCTTTGAAAAAATAAATAAAATAGATAAACCCCTGGCCATGCTAACAAAAAAAAGAGAGAGAAAACTCAAATTATTAAAATACAAGATGGAGAAGGAAATATCACAACAGAAGATACAGAAGATAATTAGAAACTATTAGAAACTGAGATACAGAAGATAATTAGAAACTATTCTGAAAATTTATACTCGAATAGAAAATATCAAAGACACTGACAAATTTATAGATATATATGATCTACCAAAACTGAATGAGGAAGTCATACATGATTTAAAAAGATCAATTTTAAGTAATGAAATAGAAAATGCCATCAAAAGCCTACCAACCAAGAAAAGCCCAGGACCAGATGGATTCTCAGCTGAGTTCTACAAGACTTTCAAGGAAGAATTAACTAACACCAGTACTCCTCAAAGTATTCCATGAAATAGAAAAGGAGGGAACCTTCCAAACTCACTCTATGAGTTTGGAATATCACCCTATGCAAAATTTGATTTACTGACCATCTCAACAGTTTAATAAAACTGAATTTGAGTTCAGTAACCTAATTTTTAAAAAGCAAGTCTGGTGATTCTGGTGCAGTTAACCCAAGATTCAAACAATATAAAACTTTAATTTGTGTTATTTCTTTTTCAGAATTTCACTTGGGTTTTCACACTAAACAAAGGATTTGTATAAATATAATTATATACCTATATATACATATATGATTTTAATATTTACATATTTATTTTAGGGAGTTCCCTTTAAGTATACAGGAAATAGAGATATGGCAATAAAATAAACATTTAAGACTCACATTTAAAGTCATGAAATTTTAATCAAGTAAATTATTGGAAAAATGAGTGTTCCTATAATTATTTGGCTTTAGTGGAATTTGAATTATAGTCATAGCTCTGCTCAAAAAACCTATAGTATCCTCTGAACACATATAGAATAAAATTCAACATCTTTCTCATGGCTCTAAACAGCCTTCTATAATCTTTCAAAACTCATTTCCTGTATTTGTCTCCCTTCCTCAATAATCTTTGATGATAATCTTCGTAACCTCCTTTTTGATCACATGGGCTTGCTAATTCTCACACACATACATTCAGACCTTGCATTGTCTCTTGCACTGTCAGAAACTTTCTTCTTCCCAATTTCCAAATGGTTTACTTCATCAAAACTTCACAGGTCTCCCTGAACGCTCAGGCTTTTCTGAATACCATAATTAAAACAGCAACTATGTTCCCATTCTGTTGCTTTATTATCTTTATCATCTTGTCTTATATAGTTATTTGCTTATTTGTCTATTATCTATATTATTTTACATTATAGTTCCTATATTATAGTTTCATAATTGCAAGAACTTTGTCTAGTTCACTTGTAGAAAACCTGTCCATGTAGAGTGCCTGTCAAATGGTAGGCATTTAAAAGCCAATCATTGTAGGATGAGTGTCTTTAAAAGATTGTCAAAATAATCAATTTATGTTTTCTCCTGTTAACTATTCCAGGTAAAGATCTTATAATAGCAGATTTTTATCTTAATAATCTTATTCATTTGACGATCTGTGGTTTTATTCAAAATGTTCTTTTACAAAATATTTTGCTATTAAAGAATGATGCATAAAGAAAGTCACAAATGAAAAGAGCTATATCATTTAAATTTATCATATCTACAAAGTATGAGTCATGGAAAAAGAGAACATGGTATTATGTAAGAGACCATAATATTAGTGATTATTTATTACTGTAAATATTGTACCAAATATTTACTGAACATTAGGTCAACATTACTAGTGACAATTCACATTAAATGGATGTCTACTTTGTGCCTGTTTCTGGGCTAAGAAGTTTACATGCTCATCTCATTGAACTACAAAAAGAAACACTACACAGCTACTGTGATTATTGTTGCCTCTTTGGACTTAAAATATGAGCTATTAAAGCCTATGGAAGGGATGTGACCTGTTCAAGAACATGGAACTAAAATACCCATCTAATGCTAACCCCTCACATCACCCCACTCTTGCTCCTACTGAAGATTTTAATAACGTAGAATAGATAATAGGCTGTTATTCAGAAGAACTAGATTCTAGCTTGAGCCCTGATGTTCACTCCTCGTGAAACCCTGAATAAATCAATCTGTTTTTCTTAATAGTAGAGTGTAATATTTAAATACGATTTTCTCACATGGCCTATATGAACGATTTTTTTTTCAAGTAGAAAGGTGAAGAACATATGTGTGTGTGTATATGCACACACGTGTGTGTGTGTGTGTGTGTGTGTTTTAAGGGGGCACTAAATAATTGTTAAACACTTAACAATTAAATGCCATAATTAAGAATATTGTGATAAGTTTGGGAACTGAAAACACTACTTTTACTTACAGATGGGATTGACAGTAATTGTGTTACTTGCCCTAAACGCACAAAACAAGGGCCAAACTGGGTCATAAAGCATGTTAATTCAGTACCATGAACCAAGGTAAAATAAACAGCAATAAGTGTGTCCATGAATGCAACAGGAAACAAGCTCTCTTGTACGAATTGGCTATTCCAAATACCATCATAAAGTCCTCCTAGGGTTCAGGCACAATTGAAGAACAACTCTATCAATAACAGCATTTGGAGGTCACAAAGAATTATAATAAAAAACAACGTGGGCACCAGCAACTTGATTAGCTGCCCCCTAGGGTCTATATTTCTTAGGAAATGCAAGAGAAAGAGATAATATTTTGGAAATGACAAAAATAATGATTTTCATGAAGGAAGTCAAAGAAAATTAGAAATAGCCATTAACTCAGGAGGAATACATGGCTATCATTTAGAAATGACTGTTGTAATAAGTACTCACAGTAGCTCTTTACACATGACACATTTGTTGTTGTATGATTTTCCGTCGGCACCACGTACAGGATCACTCTCCCGAGTACAGCTGAGTTTTCCATTTTGCATATGATCCCGATACTCAGCACATGGATCCTAATAAGGGAAAAGAAAGCAGGCCTCCTGAATTGCTTAGACTATTGAATTATCATTAAATTTATTAAACAACCTGAGAAAAGTTCTTGCATATCTGCCTTTATAAGAATTACGATAGCTAGCATTGCTGTATACACAGAAAGAGGGGCTAGACTCATCTGTATTCTAAGTATAAAGAGTCAGGTGTCCTAGCTTCTAATGCTGCTTTTAAGGACCTACAAAAGCAAGTTATAAAGCTGACTGGAATTTAAAAGCATAGATGAAAGATGGGCAAACTATAGTCCACAGACAAAATATGTCCTGCTTCCGGCTCCCACATGTAAAGTTTCATCAAAACACATCCTTGATCCTTTTTTTAGGCTTTATTTGTGGTTCCTTTCCAACAATAATGACAGAGTTGCAGAGTTACAACAGACGCCATATGACCCACATGCCAGTTAGTAAATACAAGAGCTGACTTCTTTTGTGAGTAGAAAGGAGAGAAAAATTCTGGGGATAAGTGCAAAGTTACATAAATTATCAAAAAAGCTAGCTTGTTCCAATTACAGAGAAGATGGATAAAACTTCTGAACAGGTGTACTTGAGAGTGAGAATTCAACCTCCTAAAGCAGAAGATATTGAAAAAGCAGAAAGGACAGATTTCATCAAAGATAAAAATAATGGACATGTTTTAGATTTAGAAACAAAGAAATGATCTTGAGATTCCAAGGTCATAAGAAGATAAATAAGGTGGCCGTAGTCTTGGGAGGTTGTATTGACAGGCCCGAGGAGTTGCTTTATATGCAATATTGTCATGCTGACACTTAAAAATGTTTCGAAAAATGCACTAAATGCTTGCCTAAATTATTTTATTTCTGTAAGAGTACTGTTAGGCAAGGGAGACAAATGATGCATTCAGTGCTTCACAGGTCCTAGTGGGAGTGAGCAGGTCTGTATCCCAAACTCTTAGACTCCAAAGCCTGTGCTCTTTCACCATGTGATGCTGCCTTGGGCCAGTAGAAAAGATGCCTCAGGACTTGGATCCATCCAGGGTAAGAAAAAATAATGAAAGAAGATGCAAAGCATGTGAAAGAAGATGCAGAGCGTGTGAAACTGGTAAGAAGAAATGCTGACAGAAGTACTAGGTCACCAGAACAGGGGGCAGGAAACTGGGATAAGGCCTTCATGTGGCTAATTACTTCCAGGTTTAGAGAAGTCAAAAGGAGCCCTAGAGAAGCTGTGACGGCTGACATCTTACCCTGCATCCTTCAGGAGAGATACACTGTTCCTCCAAGCACCTTTCTGGCTCATTACTCCCTATATTCTCCTTTGCTTCAGGACCTATCATTGCCCCACTGCCCAAAGTCCATCCCCTGGTTATGTCATTAGAGGTGGCTCTTACCTGAGCTTTCCCTCCTCCACCATTAGAACCTTGTCCTGAAGAATTTCTCTGATCATCCTCTTCTTTCTTCTTTCTTTCTTCACTTTCCTTCTTGCTAGAAATTAGAAAATGGAAGATAGCAAGAAACAGTTTCCAGAACACAGAGCATATTTCTATGAGCTTCTCATCATATGACCAAGTTAGATTTGTATAGTGTCTACCTGCACTTACTTAACATCTACTATGGACCCTCTTGTCCAAAAATAATAGGGATGAATTGGGTGGAGACCCTTGCCTGAAAAGCTTTCATGACAGTATAAGAAAACCAACACATACATAATCACAAATAAGGCAAGATGAGCCGTTAATTAGCATTTCCTAAGTGTTAACTAGATGTCCAGCTGTATTTCTTATAAATACCTTATGTTTAAGAGGCCTTTCCCACATAAAATAATTAGCTTCTCTACCAAGCATTACCATCCTCTTGGATTCTCTGCTTTTCTGGAAGAAAAAAGTATTGGAATCACCTCTGAGGGCTCCTCTCTCAGCTGGTATAGCTGTGGCCACATAACCTTGAATTCACCTTCACAGCTCTTCCCCCTTGATCCACTCACCTTCTAACCTGCTCCTGTACTCTAGTTGTCTCTCACTGGATTATTGCAACCCTTTCCCCTCAGTCCCCACCCCCACCCAGTAGCATTCTGAATTTTGGGCCCTTCCCTCTCTTTCTCAATTTTACTACCAGCAAGTGGATCTTCCTAAAGGAACCACATTTTGGCCACTTTCTCTCCTACCTGAACCATTTCAGCAGCTTCCTAGGTGTAGAATTGACCCCAGAATCCTTGATTTGTCATTCAAATGTTGTAAGTTGGTAAATTATAATTAAACTAAATGTCTTGCTCCTGACATAATATAGGTCTCTTAACTGAAGTCCTCACCTCTGCTATTTCACTCTTTTTTCATTCCTTCCTGTCATGTCTATAC